CATTTCAACCGAAATTTAGGGATCACAGTAATTGTGTTCATGACCATCCATCCAAGACTCAATCGAGGGAAACACAACACTAGACAAAAATGATAAACCAACCTTCTCGTTCATATTCGCCTATGAATGTGACACCCCGAACGTCATGAATTGTGATGCTTGCGAAAATAGTTTCCAATGTTACCCGAGGAAAATACGCGAGATAAACACGAACGAACCTTTTGCATTGCATTTGATAGACTCCGATCCCCGTCACGGAAGTCAATTTCTGATGCAGGGGGTTTCAGGGAAGCAGTGAATCGAGGAGCAGAGGGTTAAAAAAAAAAAGAAGGAAAACTACACGCGATCTTTAGATTCAAGACTGCCAACGATACTACTGTACCACGCTGCAGCTTCATAAGCAGCGTCGGCATTCTCGTCATCGAGGTTCAGCGAAGCGAGAAGAACCCCGGGTTCGGAATCGGGAATCACGCGAAGAATGCAGCGCAGCTCACTCGAGCCAAAGCATGATCATGCAGAAACGTGTAAATAAGCGAGGGTCGCCGGGGATGATCCGGAGCGGATCGAATCTCACAACACCCGGAATTTCTCGTGGGCCTGAAGTGAGCCCTGGAACCAGCCGAGCGAACTCAGTCGTCAAGGGCAGGATGCCGTGAATGCCCCGCTCGAAATGAACAGTTGAAATCGAAAGGGACCCCGGCGAGGATATTGCAAAAAAGGGGGGGCGAGGGACGATACCGAGTGTCAACAGGAATGTCTGCCGCACGGCTACACTCGCGAAACTTGGCGCGGAAACAAACTAAACTACAAAAGTGTCCGAGTATGTAAAAAAGGGGGAAATGATGCGCGTCTTTGCAATCCGCTTCGCACATCAGGAGCCCACCGTGACGCGGCGACAACGCTCACTCGCCGTACCCAGCTGGGCGATGACAATTCCACCTCGTACTCAATTTTCTGCCGATGTGGTCGGTGCCTGGAATGCCTGCAGAGCGCGAGAAGCCACCGCGGGAACCCAAAACAGTTTAGTGAAAAGAAGACCGATGGGGCAAAATACTCGCGTCAGGGAAAGGCTCAATGATGCCGACAGGACACCCCGTTGGAGCAGCCCATCACACTGGCCGAAGTAATCCTTCCGCGGCGTTCTGTCTAGCATCCGGTAGCCTCAAGTTCCCCGATCCCATTCATTCACTCACCAGCAGTCAGGTTCCGAGAGTGGCAATCGAACTCGACACGAATGGAAGACTCCAACTCCATTATTCAGTAGTTTCTGCGACAACGTCAGCAAGTCCTGCGACTGCCAACGAAGCCGAACACAAAAGCGGGTTGATTCCGTCTTTTTATAAAAGCTCTCTCTAGAAACCTACAGCTCGATCAGCCGATCAGATAACCTACAGCTGTAGACAGACAAATCTGTCTACAGATTCGTCAACTGACCTTATATGCGCCAACAATTCGTACGCTAATGGAAATTGCGGGGATGCTTCCAAGTCCAGATGCAGCGCAAGACGAAACAAATCGAGGTCGTTTCTTGATAATAGATGTAACGAGGAATAATCACGGATCGCTGCTGAGTTCGGATGGAGTCGATGGCCTGCGGGCGACTACAAGTCGATTCACAGCCTCGACGTGCTCGCTAACAGCGCCATTGCATCGCAAGCAAAATCTTAGCGTCAAACGGGGCCACAACTTATTCCGCTAGACCGGCGTGGAACGAATTAATAATTATCGAAAGTGACCAAGAATACGCCCGGAAGGCACGGCCGCACACGAGCAGAAACTCTCCGGTGGCCGGATGCATTTCTCCGGCTGAATCCATGAATGCGAATCAAAGAAAGGCATTGAGAAAACACGGATGTTGTCCCGGGAATAAAGGCCTACGACGTGACGATGTTTGCCACCTTGGGCGTTGATCTATTGGTATTCGTCGCTCACCACGCCGTTCAGTCTGGAGAAAATAAGTTTCCTTCCCCGGGATTGTGAAAAAAAGGGAAGGGGCGCTTTGAAAAAGGCTTAAATACGTCCTCCCATTATAGCGTCTCAATGCGCACACTGTATACAACCCAGTCCAGGCCGGTCCGGTCACTTAATCACTTCTCGGTAAATCATTCTTATGATCTGCGTCCCCCTGCTCAAAAGAACCGGACATTCTTGGTAGGATCCACAGGGTGGGCTCTTTGGGGAGAACATCGGAGAAGATGAGGCGGATGAAGAAATACCGGGGACCACCTTGCATTAGAATGCGGAAAATGAAACGATCACCGGGCTTTGTCGCGCGCTTTTCCGTACCCCTTGGCCCGGAGGAAATTCCCAGAGAGAAAACGAAAACCCTACCGGGAATACGTGGATTCCCGCGGTTTCCCCTCGCGGCGTTCAGAAAATCCCAAGTCTCAAGTGATCACTCAACAAGTGTCGGGATGAGACTATTATGAGACAAAGCCAAAAAAGAAGACATCGTTGTTTTCCGACGCCCACGACTGTTCGCAGCCGTGAGGATTCCTCGGGAGCGAATAAGTTCGGCACCCATGTGTCGCAACATCGGTCTCCCGGGATTCCGGGACATGACCCAGTCGTCGGTTCTGTGAATTCTCGAGCGACCAACTGACAGGGTTGAGCGTAGGGATTGACGCTCGCGACGTTCACCTTTTTTCTCTTCAGGGGCCGGAACCCGCGAATAGTTTCAGCCGGGCTCAGCTCGGTAGACGAAGGGGGAGAAGAGATTAGCACGATTCCGAGACGTGTATTCGACGCAGTTTTCCCACAACCGTCACAGGCAGTGAACGAGTGAATTTCGCATCCCCGCCCTACCCATAGGAAAGAACAGTCGTCGCACAAAGGCCGACTGGGGCATTTCATATTATTTTGACACCGCAGACGGTGTTCCGCAATTTTCAGTTACGCTGAATGCGGGACAGGGCCCCAGCTCATCCATCAACAGTCAATTTCAGGCATTCAGTAGGCACGCATGCTGCTTTGCGTCAAACTTTACATTCCTTACATAATCTGAGTCTGTTTTCCAGCTTAAGCTCACAAAAGCAACCTTTATAGGAAACGTATGAAGGGAATTGTTATTTAAATGAAGGCCCGAAGAAGCTCCCGCTCAAAGAGAAAATCGAACAAACTCCCACAAATTAAACTGACGCATCAGTAAAACATCTTCAATGCCTGTACGCACAGTGCCTCGGCAAGGAACCTCATGTTACTCGAATGATCGAGTTTACGCGGGAACAATTTTATTCATGATCAGTCGAAAAAAGCAATAATTCTCCGTCATTCATGGACATTTTTGGGACTATCTAAATAAAATACAGTACTGTAATTTGATTTGCGGCACTGAGCGCTTGAGAAGTCTGGATCGGTGAGATTACTCTTCTGAGGTTCATTTCAACTTCTCTAAAGCGGAATTTCTCCAAATGAAAAATTCAGGAAAACTTCCCTCAAAAACCGCACGGATGGCTGCGAAATACTCGAGGAAACGATAAGCTGTCCAAAAGCATTCCTTGTCGTACTGTATTTCCTCGTTCAACAAAATTCAGGTGTTTTCCGCCAGAAGTTTGCAAGAAAAACATGCGTTCGTTTGCACCTTGAACGAATACAAGATACAAAAGCTGCATAAAGTAATACATTTTCGAATTTATTCGTAAAAGTTTGGTGCATGTCTTACACAGAAGCCCCAGGAAGGTACACGGAAATGATACGGGAAATTAATGTAATTCTGTCGACGTCAAGAAATTGTATTCTTCAGACACGCAAATAATGGATGAAAACTACCATATTTGCTCCGATATAAAAAAAATTGTTTGCAAGGATTGTCTGAAAATAAGGATGGATCAGTTACTGTATTTTATAACATCCCAAATTCGAAGGAGGCTTAGATCTTCCCGTGAAGTTGACGGTTCCTTTAAAAACATTCAAGAAAAAAGTTCCAGTTCAAGGCCTCAGGAGTTAGAATCCGGATTATACTTCATTTGTTCTTGATAGCCTGGTTACTTGAACATGATCAGAATCAACCGAATTATCGGATTCTCCGATTCCGAAGACATTTAATATAATGGTAGTGCATCTTGTATTCTCGATGAAAATTTTTCAGTTTCGAAGTGCAAACATGATTGACACTTGGCGATTTATACTGAATTTGCATTCGTACGGTAGGTTCCGCAAAGTTTATCGACAAACACATGAACGATACTAACGGTCAGTGGTGAATGATAATTCAAGCTCGGGTGTCTAAAGCGCTTATTTCAACAAAGGAATGGGTGTGTTTGGACGATTCTGAGGACGGATTCTCTTCTTTTTTATTGGGACAAAAAGGTGGACGAACGGAATGCACGTATTTAACGAAGATGGAGAGAAGGGACAAGGTCAAAGAAGAAAAAAAAAGCATGCGATCGTCCCACCCGAGCGTTCACAACCTTTGTCGCTTTTATATGAATCAAATCTCGGCATTGCCACCGGCCAGGTAGGGCAGTCTTGTAAACTGGGGGAAAAAGACAACCATGAGCAAAAGGAAACTCACAGCGCGTGAAACTCCCAATTCTATAGGCCCGACACGGCACAAGCGATATCCCTTGATTATCCACGCTTCCCTCGACTTGCTTCCATTGCATTACACGAATGCGCTCCCCGGAGCGGGAGCAAGCAGATTCAGTGTAACCAACCCCCTCGCTTTTCACACGATTGCCCCACGACACGATCGGAAGCGGTCCGAATTTCACCCGCCACTAACCTTCCGTCGCAGCTACGTTGCAGCGACGAAGCAATTCGCGACTTGAATGCGCGCAATTTTTTTTTTTTTTTTCTGCATCCAGCATGAAGCTACGCAATCCAGGAATGCCAGAAAAACACGAATGCCTGCGACCTGGCGAGGCTAATAGCCCATTTAGGCGCTTGATTCCCGTCCGACGCCTTCTTTTTTCGGCCACGCATTCAAAACACCTCCGATCAAAAGCACGCGGACCATCTTTCATCCCGCAGGAATACCAAAGTAAGTCCGCGAATTCAGCTTAGTCACACGGCCTGCTGGGAACATGACAGTCGCCTTGTACACTCGATTCAAAAGAACACGCCATTAGAGCGGAAATCCTCATGCTGGGAAGATCGACCTCGGCGCGGAGCCCGGTTATGCTAAGGAGTCTTTGAACTTTCTGGAGTTCCACAAGCACGCGCTGCCCGCGTTTCACGGCAAAAGACGACCAACTCACCGGCGACAAAAGAAGCAGCATGCCACGATCGCAGCTCCGACAATCGCTGAACAAGCCGCGACGGCGATCAGCATAGCCAGGAATCCGTCGAAGCTCCCTGCAACAAGAAAAGGAGAAAAAGAACTTACAGCATCGCACCATCGGTCTATCGCACTTGGAAACCCTCCAGGCGAGCCTGGGGCTTCGAAATCCTTCTCCATTTTAACTCTTCACATTACGACCTTTTACCTATTCTTGCCCGATTTCAGAATTCTTTGGAAGTAAGTCGTTACGCCTTCGCGTAACGCTTGGGGAGTGCAAGAAATTCAATCTACGAGGCAGTACTGCACGGAGGCGATATTCGGCGCAGCCAGCGAGCAAGGAATCCGGACGCGTACCAACAAAAGCTTGAAAAGGGAGTTGAATTTCTAGTATAAATAAATAAACCACATCGGGCCCACAAAGGCCTTTTTGGGGGGGTATGTACCGCCAATTTATACCGCCGATTTCACCCATGAAAGAGCTCGGACCGACGATCTTTCGAAGTACCCTCCAGCGTGAACGTCAAACGGTTTGATACGCTTGTAGCACATGGCTGCCTTTCTGATTTCCAGATCAAACCGTCGGTCATGATCCTCCAATTCGCTCCGGGAATTTCCGCAAATTCCATCTGGACCGGTTCCCCGCTTATACGAGACCGTGGAATTTATTCAAGAAATCGAGAGAGGATCGGATGCATCGAGAATCATCCATGAGCCTTCGTGCATCTCTACGGACCATTACGGCATTGACCGAGAAAATACCGATACCGAGGGGCACAAGAAGAAGTAATTGAAAAATATGGTAATGAATCCCGCCTCAGCGGATGCCGCTGATTTTAACCCACCGCATTATGCGCAATTTTCGCAGCTGGCAACGGGAAACAATCGCAGAGCCGACAGCCAACGGAAATGCTCGGCCTTGATCACAACGACAATCAGATGGGTACATTTGTCCGAGGACAAGTGCAAAGCCGGGAAAAAACCGTCCCCCAGGTGGGCCCGGAATGCCTCCAGACACGCGACCTCCACGCAAGTGGAGTCATCCAACACGCAGCGGATGTGTCAATGAAAAATAACTCCCAGTCGTGGCCCGGACACTGCATGCAGCCCTGAAATACCCTTGAAAGGCAGATGACAAACCAGCGCCTGGGACAATTATGCTCGCACGCCGCCGCAGGGCTGGCACAAATAAATTCGAGCCAAGAAAAAACTTTTGTCACCGACGGCTCCGAATCCCCAGTGTCCCATGTCGCTCACCAGACAGGCCAGTCAAGTTTATTAAAATAAAAAATACCCTCAAGGCAGAAAAACAAAAAGTCGAAGCACGCATTCGACTAACAAGCTAGTTTCAACTTCTCCGATAACCACCCGCCAAGCTCCGGGCAATAAAGTTGGGACTGAATGCCTTCAGTGAGAACTTCCCAATACTTCTCTCTATTTTTTTTCCTTCTAACCTGGGACCATTTGCCTTCTCAGCTCCGACTCCCTACGTCCTGTATTCCATTCAGTTGTGCGACTGCTCGCATTTCCCTGATACGCATCGTCGCGCTGCTATCAAAAGCTCACCACTTTTCTCAACGTACACGACTCACTGAGCACCGCTGTCCTGTTCATGACAAGCATTTCCTTCTGCTTTCCCCTCTAGGCGGATTCCTATCATACTTCCGAGATCCCAACAAATTTCAAACGATGTCCGACTAACCTGCTTTCCTACAAAGCGTTAAACCCAATCGGATGCTTGCGCACTTGAAGCGAGTAACAAGGAGAATCTTGGAATTGCCCAGCTGACATCGTCAAGGCATCGAAACGAATCGCAGCAGCGAGATGGAGAAAATAAATCGAATTGGGTGCGCATTAAATTCTCGAGGATGAAACAACTTTATAGGATTCGAGGAAACGCACATCCCGGCTTGTTAGTTGCAGACGGAAACTTTATCTTTATTTTTTAAAGACGGATTCCCTCTACGGGAGTTCATTACAACGCCCTCAACAGATCCGCTCGGTATCAGTCATCTTCGGCTTCGGAAGAGCTCCAATTATTCCGGTTACAAGCAACGGAGACGATGGAAGGAAAACACGTCGGCCTTATTTTCATCAGAACCAGTCCGAGATATTGCCAGCGATGCGTCTCCAAACTTCGCGTCATGACGGAAAAAATTACGGACGTCAAGCCACAGCAAGCACACAATTCTAATGGAACCCGTCTGCCGAGAGAGTGCACGAGGACGAGTTCGATCGGCGACAACCTGGAACGTTAATTATTGGTGCTTTGTGTCGCGCATTTCATTAACAAGACCCGATCCCCGACTCCGAACCTTCGCTCGGATAAGAAAAAAGTTCACGCAGTTGCTTCATCGTTTTACCTACGACATCGTATTTTCTGACAACTGACATCGTCGCTTTTCCCGATTGGAACAGCTGCAAGTTCAACCCATTAGGCACATCAGCCGTCCAACGACTGCCTGCGATGCTTGATAAAGGTCCAATGGCCCGAAGTTTGCGAACAAGCTGTCGACGAATTTGCGACGGGGAAAAATTAATGCGAAGTTCAAATAGCCCGACGCGGTTGAAAGGGAAATTCCGGTCTAGAAATTGAGAGACAGGGTGCAAAAATGGTTTCTGGCGGCTAGCTAACAGGAGTCGGTTCCCCACCTCCGACGAAACTCGATCGCTGAACACAAAAATTTCCCTTTCATAAAAAATATACGGCCCTGAATGCGAACAAGAAAAGGTATTGAATTTCCACTAGGTAAGCGTCAACAGCAGCCCCCGGTCTTTTCTCTACAAAAAAATTTACGAGGTTACGGCATACAACTCCTGTCGTTCATGACCGAATTAACACCGCGGACGAATTTCCTCCCCCTCCGGCGGAGAAAAAAAAAAGGAACCCTGCCAGTGGCCTCCCCTGCCGCCAGTGAAAATAAGTTATTAACCGCGGGCCCTTTCATCTGCGGATTGCGAACAGGAATCGAGAGGGTGCCCGAAAAGCAGCGCAAGGAAAAAAGCCCTGCACGCCCCCAAGACTGCGGTGCGTGCTCCACGATCGCGAGGCGGCCTCAGTCACGAAAAGCCGTGCGGAAAGGAGAAAAACCGCGCGCAAGCCCTCCGCAAAGATTTGTAAATTACGAACTTTTTTCTTCGCAACGCCGGAGAATAATTCGCGGTAATAACTTTCGGTGCCCGTAATTGGGACCCGGTCCATTCTGGTCGAACAAAGCGGGAGTTGCGCGTATGTCCGTGCCAAATCGGGCGACTTCAGCGAATACGATGCACGTCTGCTCGGACGAAAAGGACCAGCCATATTCTCTGCTACCCGAAGAATCCTAATTTTCTTCCCTGATTCCGGACTGGTAATGTCACGACTTAACAAAGAACATTTCCTTGACTTCAGTATAGACGGAAGTAAAATACGATTCGCATCGTGTTCCCAACAAAACAAACAAAATCTCTTGTCCTAATTTTTTCCTTTCAGAAATCCCGTCCGCAGTCTTCTTTCAGGGTATCCTCTATAAGGCGATCACGAGATTTTAAAGATTATAATTTGAATATTGTCCATGACTAAAATCTACAACCTTGAAGTTGCAATTTCGCGAACCCCCGCAAAACTCACAGCCTCAATCTCTCACTCCCGAATTCGAAATTTCAATGTGCATGAACCATTAATTCATTTTAATGCTACTGAAGAGCGTTTATTTTCAGAAGGATCTTAATAAATTATCAAAAAGTCGTGCTTCGGCTTTTTGTGACGTTGTCAGCACCCCGATATCTCCGGGATGCACGGAAAAAAATATTTGTTCGTTGATCTGATATTTTCAAACGAGCTCACAAACGGAATATTCATTGCATAAGCCGTTTCTCATAGCCGATTCAATGCCATTCTAACGGGAAATCTTTTTTATTGAGAGTAATTAATCAAGACGCAGACGTTCGCTCCACGGAACGATTCGACGCATCATGAAATAGTGATGGGATCCAAATGATCAGTCGAAACGGATGCGAGAATTTTTCATCAACATGTCACCTGTGGCGGGAAAGAAAAGCAAAAATAGGTGTATCAACGTTCCGCTCCAGCGATTGCGCTGTAAGCAGTAAAGAACATCCCTGCAGCCAACGAGGTGCAAATGACGAGAACATCATCCAGAAGCTTTTCATCCGAAGTCAAGTTTCTCTTCCAAGAGAAAAAGTCCACGTTCTTGCATATCGGTTCGTTTTAAACCGTTACGAAAATTTCGGGATTCCGGAGCATGATAAAAAATTTTCCGAGGATTTTTCTGTCCTCTTATTAGCGCAAAATGTTATGCTCACGAGAAGAGAACAACATAATTATTTCTAAGAAGCTAACGAATTGGGTAATAATGCAAGGGTTAAAATGCCTCAGAAATCCACGGCGGTGAAACTTAGTAAACAATTTTTTTTTGCGTACACAATACAGATACTTCGATGGAAAATAATTCTACTTCGAAGGAATGCGCACTCGTTGCATATCGAAACACCATGAAGCCACAGCTCAACCATTCACCCCGAACTTGATGAATCAGGATTCCTTGATTGCAGAAGTATGAACTTCTCCTCGGAGAAGTTCAAAGTACGACAATTTTGCAGTTCGATAAAAATCGACTTCAGATAGTTCTGGAATTTATTTCGATTCTCGTTCCAGAATGAATTACTGCGATTATTTTTGCGTTACCCAAGGAATTTGCACTCAGGTGATTTTCGAGTAAAATTGAGATTGGTTGACCCGGCTGTACTGAGTTGCACGAAGAGGCGAAGTCCAATTTAAGATTCTCGTCAGCCCCAGCCCGAGCAATCGACTCATTTTTTGCGTGCGTCGTTTACAACAACCTGAGCCCACGTGATTATGTGAGCACCAGCCCACGCATAACGATTAGCCGATTACCACATACGCAGTAATTAAGTACTGCGGTTTGGCTCGAAAGCCAAAGATAAAAAATAAAATACGTACGAGTTCCTCAAAAACCTGTGCACACCCGCAGCGAAGCTCGAGAAGGTGTTGCTGCAGAAGTTGCCGGTTTCAAAGAAACAAGGCTCCCCAGAGAATACTTTCGAGAAGTCATGAATTAATTTCTTCGAATTTTTCGCACTGCGAAATGAGATTTTCGCGAATAGCTTTCAAGATCGCGACTGCGCAGTCGGTACCACACGGCTCATCCGCCCAGATTCAAGCAATACATTTTCGATATTTTTTGCTTCCAAGATTTAAAAGAATTTAAATTTAAAGGCACTGCTAGTTGCGCCGAAAATGAATGCCTCTTGAAACATTACTGCGAGGGAACAATACAATCCATCACACATATCACGCATTTTATGAACCAATATCGGTTTTGTAAGTCCGAAAGAGTTTTAATTGCTCTTATGATTTTGAGGACGGATTTCAAATCCCAAATCTAAAAAATAATCGATTCGCCATTGAAATACCGCCATCGGATTACCGGATTATTACTTCTGTCATCGCTTTTTCACATCCTAAATAAAAAGAAGATGCGACGAGGGAAGAACTCACGAAGATAAAGTTACACTTAATTTCTTCAGACTCGAAACTCACGGTAACGAATACCGTTTTCACGCGATGAGGCAATGATTCCAGATTAATACTGTAATTGAATAGGGCAAAAATTTAATTTTCATTAGGGATTTGTCGCCTATAGGACTGGAAAGCTTGTTTGATTCTTTCAAGCATTTCTATTGACTTTGTAAATGTTATAGGATCTCGGTTCAAGGCCAAATGTACGACTGCGGTAAGGACTATATTAATCTGACTGGCTGCATCGAGGAGACGCTTGACTGAGGACGTTGTTTCAATGTCTAGAGTAGAAGCCACATCTCATTTCTTCTTCGGTGAATTTCGCGGGAAGGAATTGAAGCTCAGATGAAGTATTTGTGGCATTGAATGGACTAGTTTTCTTCAATCATTGCCTAAAAGCAATAAAGACCATAGCACGATGAACTCTCCAACCTGCACTTCATTTTCATAGATTTTGGCGATTCAATCATCATCGTGAGCGACACAGGGAGGTGTATATGGCAGCCGTGCCCCACACGACGGGAAACAATCGCCTCGAAAATCGCACCGGTACAGGTTTTTTTTTTCTTCTTCGATTCAGCTCCTTTTGATTAAGTAGATTCGCAGATTTGGATCCTTGATTTCTTTCGCGGGGGCGCCGCAGCGGAGAATTACTACAGGCCTCCGGAAAAATACACTAATTAAAATGCCGGCGTTTCCTGTCCGAGTTCCCATCACAGTGAGCCCAGATCGTGATCTAGCATTCCGCACGCAAAGCGAAAAAGACATCTCAAGTGGGTCTTAGGGGACGGATCTCTATGGTGAAACTTTGAAACTGTGTTCACACCGCACCCAGTAACAGTGGTTCGAAGCACGACGTGAACCTTTTCCGAGACCCGCGCGAGCCTTTCTATAGTGCCCAAATCCGGCAGTTGCATCTCGTTAGTATCAACAACCAGTCGGCAAAATCATGACGGCACATGACACGGGGGGCTTTTGACAACGGGCCACCAGAGACGAGAGTCGCACGAGGGTCCTCACCACAGAAATCAAACGTCTGACACCAGAGGGAAATCGATTCTCATCAAGAGAGTCAGTCGGGCCCGTGGAAATCTGAATCTCGATCGTCGGAAGTTGTGTGACCCCTCGAAGACACGCCGGGGTTTCGGAAAAAAAAATTGATATGACATGCAGCCAGAAGTTTTCGCCCCATTGTCCCCATTCGCCGCTGCGAGGATTTCAATTGCCGCGTTGCTGGGAATATCGCTGCTGCGGATCACGGGGTGACGATGGGCGTGATAGCAGTGTCCATGTCCGGGGCGCAGTATTAAAATGCTAAGATGAACATTACCGATACAAATACGCAGCGAACCATCGCTGGAACTGTTTCAGAGCTTGTTCCGACAGCGAGGATACCCCAGCTTTCCTCTTACGCCCATCGCAAAACTCCCCCTCCCACGACGAATAACGAGGCATCCGAGATCGTATTTCTTGCAACAACATCCGGTAGATTACAGCCAGTAGCTTAATTCACCTACCGCGGGATGAAATCTTTCCCTAAAATAATCCCCGGGTAATTCATCATTTCGTAGTTTTTCTCGGCGAAATCTCAGCCCAGAATTATCTGAGTAATTATTTTTCCCTTTCTAATGCCGGAGAAAGACAGCGCATAATCTTCATAATCAACGCATAAGCGTTCCTTAACTGCTGGAGCATGCAAACAGAGTTGATAGGAGACGCATTCTTTCCCACAAAATTCAACTTGCTCTAACTCAATTTCGTGAATCTTAGAAACCCGTCAATGATTTTTATTTGAATACGTAAAACCATGTATAGCAAAATACTCGCATAAATATCTGTAGTAAAAAATAAAAATCCCGACATTCGGCACATTTTCCGACAACCCCCTATGATGTTTCAAAGAAGAGAATAAAAGAGAAACCTTCGCAGAAAGATGACCGATCCCTCTGATTCAACATGGTTTCCTTAATTCGAAATGACATTGCGGGGGTAATTCGAACCTTGTTTTCTCCATTTGCGATGCAGTGAAAAATACTGTAATGTGGTGTTTAATTAATATTCGAATATTCCCTCTATTCTGATGTTCGAGTTGGTGGAGGGAGATTATTTTATATGAAAATCTGGGTTTTCTGAAAAATATGTCTGAGAACTCAGGCTGCGGTCAACATTGGAGTAAATACTGAATAGGTCGCCATCAGTTTTAAATTTTCAGGATAACGTACCGTCTCGAAATTGCCCCTTTTAGGAAGTTATTAAAGCCAAAGGACCTCGAAATCGCGTAAGAGTACGAGGATTATATATTTCGGAGCACAATCGTTCCTCGAGATGAACTATTTACATACTCATTGGTCGAAAACTCGATCGTTAAGCGGGGACAATTACAAAATTTTAGAGGCTGCATGATGGAAGATAAAAGCGATGGAAATGGATGGTTCTAAAAATGAGGATTGTCACCGGTGACCCAAGAAGGAGCATACTGTCAACACACAATAAAAGCGGGAAGTCGGAGACATCGGAATGTCTCGTGTCGCCAGATCCGAGTAGTAGATATTAAGCCTGAGACCAGTTCGTCACTCACCATGAATCCCGGAGCCTCCACTCAGTGACCAGTTATCGAACGACGGATCAGCCCATTTGCAGAGGTGACAGAAGTCATTAGGAGCCTCTCCGACGACCGTCGACAACGGGTGTTGCCCGGATTCGACACCGTCCTTATTTCCGAGGTCTTCGAATCCAAGTTCGTCTCGCAAGAACGACGGGATCGGGGGTGGTGGCATGAAGAATTCGACCGGATACTCGGCAAACTCCTCCTCGCAACTCCAATCGCTCGTGCACGCCGCCATCCCTGCAATTACGCGGGGGAAAAAATACGCAGGTAGAGTAAACTAGTTTCCTTCGACTGAGGAAGTGACAATTTCCCCTTCCCACCCATCAGTCGTCGAGTGAGGGCATTCCGCGCGTGGTCTCGCACGCCAAGACGGCGTAATTATTGATGGTGGCAGACGGGAAACCGGGATTTTCACATGGGAGCATTATGCATTGAACAGAAGTTTCCTCGCCGCTCCCCAAAAAAACCTAACCCAGCTACCCTCCGCACTTCACGGCAAAGGAAATTCACATTTCCGGCGATCAACACCAACGCGTTCACTAATGATTTATGTATATTTCTTACCCGCAACAAACCCCGCATTTTTCGCCTCCAATGCTCACGGATTGAGAAGTTCCGACAAGCCGTACCTGGCATTCTACACCGCACTCGGGGAGAACCATCTGCTTCACAAACCGTGCATAATTCAAGATTTTGAATTGTAGCCAAGTACAGAGCGTGAGTCTCTAGTACAATGCAGTACTCCCGGTAGCATCGATGGATCAAGTAATGGAGTAATTATAACCTCTCAGACTCCAAACGCATACAAAGCGTCACGGATTCAACTTTAATAAAGCCGTGTCTCGGCAATATCACCAGTAAATTTGAAATTACCGGACTTCATCAAGGAAAATATGAAAAAATATTCGCTTTACGCAGATTTTGCTTATCCTAAATTATAAGTCTTCTTCAGAAAGAAAAAAACTTCAGCTTGGATTGTTTCAATAAATATATCCAGCACATCGCATCTTCATGCCCTCGTTATTTGTCACAGAAGACCCAATGAAAGAATTCGCACTCTCAGTCCATTGATCAATTTATGCTCCTCGATTCATGATAATCATGACAGCGGTTCTCAACCAGTTCTCCGCGGTGCATCCGAAGATTGAATGAAGAAGCACTGTTGTACTTCAAAGGCACGTAATTAAATATCGAGGAAATAGAATACAGTACGAAGAACACGGACGGACAAAATTTGGTGCAGACGAAAAAAAAAGTGGGGGGGGGGGGGGGGGGGGGGGGGTTGGGCAGCATTTCAGTTTGGCCAAAGGTCTACTGAAATGCATGGGGGGGGGGAGGGGGGGGGGGGGTGGGGGGGGGGGGGGAGGTCTCCTCAAAGGAACTATGTTTTCAAACATGCTTTACAGCTTAAATTTATTTTTAAAAGGGCTCTGCGAGTAGAAAGAAAGGTTGAGAACCACTTCTGTAGGGAACAGTATGGTTTCCACATGTAGTCGACATTCAACCGGAACAGTCTGACGACATGAGCGAAGACAAAGTACAGTACATTTCAAGGATACGAAAGAAAAAAAGAGACCACCTGCACACCGAAAAAAAGGACATAACGGGCTTGAATCTCACCAGTCCATTCGTCGGACATCCTGTGTTCCGCCATCGAACAGCAGGATCTGAACGTCTGGCTCAATCACACAGGTTCGACAGCGAAAGAATCCCGCTTCGCATTTCTCGATACAAGTTTTCTTTTCCGAGTGTTTTCCAACAAGATTAGCACGTGGTCCGAAAGCCGGCTTTCTCAATCCGCGATCAATCACCAACAACAGCACTACTACGCGCACAGTTCACTTTCCTCTCAGCAACATCAAGAGGCCAACGCGAGTTATTGCTTCAGAAGGGTCTGTAAGCGAAGAAAATTGGAAATTTTTATGCTCTGCTCTAAAAATCATGCCGACGATCAGCTCCAGTCATCAGCATTCCTGGCATCCCTCCGGTGCAATTAACTTGTGTGAAAAATGCCAAAGCCATAACAATTAACGGGGCACGGGCTCATCCAACTAGTTCATGAGAGGCCGGCGTCCCGTTTAGGAGTAGAAAAAAATCTATCGCGGCACATCGATTAATGTAACGGAACGGCAAATGACCAGGATCCAATTTGGAATAATAGCGTAAAATCTGCTCGAAAATTTTCACAGCATCCTCACGGTGAATCCCGGGAATGTTTCGCAAAAGGTTAATTTTCATCACGAAAATTTTCCCTTGAAAGAGGCAGTTCAATCAAAATCACAAGGAAGCGTAATTTTTTAAATTTTATTCAGCGTCACATTTTACTCATCACCCAATCGTTCTCTGTGTATATACGTCGAATACTGAACACACACGAGGACCGCTCCCGGAAGCGGTGCGCCGCAGACTGCTCGCTCGGCGATCCCGCGCCACGTATAAGATACGCGGGTAGTTGTCCCCGAGGGTCCTCGCGCCCCGCGCGGAGGATTTCTCTATTGCGCATCCCTGGTGCTTGTTGGGGGGAAATGAAATCACAGACCAAGCTGGGTAACACAGTGGTCCCTCAGTTAATGGACATGATCCATTCCTGGGCAAGTCCATTCTAAAGAAAAATATATTGAGTAATTTAATGCTGCGTAAAATAGCTGATTGGCTCCAAGCCTCCCCCTCCCAAATTTCCATTGACTGAATAATGATACGCTGAATGAAATGGATAAAGCATCCCACATACTTTGTAAATTTTCTTAATTACTTCTTGAATACAGTATACTGTATATTATCATGAAATAAATAGATGCTGAAGTAAAATTTCAACAAAAACACGGTGAAACAACGAAAACAACACACAACCACATCAAGAATATCAAAATTCTTTGAAGTAACGCCTACTCACTGGAAAATCATGCTGGCGTCTACGTTTCCAGCAGCAACTTCAGGGTTTTCAAGGACAATCCCTTTATCGCAGTCAATCGTCAAAAGTAGGAATCCAAGAAAAAATCACGGCAGGCCAAGTTTTTCATCTGGAAATTTCGATAGGCCAGGCGTCCATTCCCGAAGGTGCAACAGTACTATTTCCCCATCGCGAAAAGTCCAATCCCGACAAGAAATTGTGGTCCTCCGATCGCGGAAGAAAGAATAACCCAAGAAAAATGCGGCTAATACCCGCCGTTTTTTTTTACCCGCATAAAACATGCATTACCATTGGTCAGCGGAATTTCACGTAAATTTAAATGTACTGACTATTACACGGGTTTATAGTAAACATTTATGCACTGCAATACTGGAATAATCGAGTAAAATACCAGGAATCGTGTTGGGAATGTTCGCGAATTTTTTGTTCGCCTTATTCTCATTCTGACGATCGATATCTATTCACATAGCCACTAGGTTAGGCCGCATGTTCCAGTCGCTGATGCGGCCTAATCTCAGTAATCTCAAGACCGAGTTTTTCTCGATAATTTTTTTTGGGAATAAGTGCCATGTAGGATTGTGTGATTACAGTACTGAGATGTGGCCATCATGATTAAAAAAGCAAAGCACTATTCTGCCAATGCCATCAAACCATTGATTTGTTCTGATTATTTGGGATTTTCAGGTCAAAAAATCAAAATTCGTCATGGAGAAACAGTTATTCTACATCGATTACAAAGGAAAGGGTAGCATATGCAGAGCTCTGGTTCAATCATTAGTGTAAGAAGTGAAAGAGGTCAATTTTCTTCTGTGCATTAGAATCTGAAATCAGGATTATTACTAGAGAGTACTGTATACTGTACTCGTAAATTAGGCTTACGTTGGCACAATTCATGTATTTCACAAATATCTTGTGACCCGCATGAATAGTTCGCAAAATAAGAGCAAGACTTTTGAAAAATCAAAATTTTACAATTTGTATTATTTTTTCTATACTGTACAGTATTTTAAAATCAAAACTTGTTAAAAATCAAAATTATTCATAAAATTGCTCGATGTCTGTCCCAAAATGCTCATCGACGAAACTAACTCCGAGAATACGAATTGAAATGATTGTTTTTTGTTGTTGTCCGGATGACACGTGTGCAAGGGATTTCTCATAAGTTGTACTGCCTGTGAGTGTATTTGCTGAATAAAGTGACATTCGGATGTTTTGCAAGTATATTTTAATAGCACCATGAACGTACTTGATACTACACATATATATCAAGTACTCGGAACAAATTTTAGAAATCCTTGGGGTGCACGTCAATCCATTCAAGCCAGTTTCCACTAGTTTTCCTCGTTAATTTCTTGGCGATATTTCGACGTGTGAGTCTTGTATATGCCGAGAAATTTTAGGAATAATATATTATCGCATACCCTTAAGCCGAAGTAAAGCGTATTATTGTACAGTACAGCATACCAAAAAGAAAAACATGACGAAGTTGATTTCCCTCTTAGTGGAGAGCCTCGTGGGAAGACCGTCGACATGAGACGGTTCCGTATAATCACGTCATCTGCAGGCAGTTTTGCATCTGCGAGGAACCTCATCCTCAGAATACCCTCTTCTGTAAATGGCATATGTTTTTTTTTTACTGATACCATCAGAACTATTGAGGAATTTTTTTGCCAACCATTTCATCCTGGAGTTCATTTACCCGCACCTGGCATGCCAGGATGTGGAACTCGGAGACAAATGAAAAGTTGCACCTTGCTGAGGGTGAACTCCGATCGGGTCATCCGAGACTTGAGCAGCAGGTGTGAAACTGGACTAGTTGGAGAATTCAAGACCCCGTTCTAAAAATGCCTGCGTCTGCATTCATCATGTTTCTGTCATTGTCATGCGATATTTCTACGATTGCCTTGAAGCGAAAATTAACCTGCTGCGTTTCGTGATTTTTCTTGCTCTCATTTGCGTGGAATGCCTCGATTTATTGACGGCAGAACCTCTAACATCGGGGCACTATTATGAGCTTCATTTCGGAAGTATTACTGAACTTTAACATTTGCATCATAAACTGTTTTACTTGTAGTGTATGATGCAATGGAAGAATAAACTGTTCCATACTTTGCTGGCGGCGCAAGTTCTTTGGTGTTTAGTTTTCGGAGTCGAGGCCAACGTCATCATTGCCATAATTTACTGCTACGCTCGTAAATAACGTAGAAAAATATCAAGTTTACGTCAAGTTCGGTGGAAATCTCTACAATATGAGCTACCAAATCAACTGCATACTCACAAGTCCCAAGTCGGCTCAAACGTCGTCAGATCTGCATAAAAAATTAGACTTGATCGAATTCTTCTCTTGGATTCCCGACGAATGACCGTACTGAACTTTCATGCGGAGACAAAAAGTGTGAACATAAATCGTTCCCGTTCTTTAGATTTCCCCAGAGCAGAGCCCTCCGCGGAACCTTTACATCAGGTGCTCCGCGGATCCCTTACATCTGCGCATGGTGTTCCAGTGGCTCTGAAACTATTACATGATTAAAACATAAGGAAGAACAATTGGAAAACAGAAAGTAAGGAAAGAAAGCAATCGACATATACAGTAATTCAGTGTATGAAGAAAGACTCGATGGACCCCCTTCCCCCATAAAAAAAAACAATTACCCGCAGCTTTCGAAAGATAAATTGAAGATCCCAAATACAAGACGTTCATGTATGAAGGGTATACGCCATGAAAATTTTTTCCGAAAAGTCTTCGCGATTCAATAAAGGCCGATAATTTCTAGTCCAAAGTATAGGATAATCTCAATTATTCTGGTTGATGACCTTTCACCTTTGTCGATACAAAAAATGTATTTAATGGAAGTTGAAAGAAATTGCGAAATGGGGATATCAGAAAATGACCTCACGTTATATTCTCAATGCTTTCTCAAACTTCAAAGAGCAACACTGTTTCAGAGTGCCCTTTTGAACTCTCTCTCTCTCTCTCTCTGGACTTATCTTTAAACAATTATAGCGAAGTTCAGATCCTTCCTTTTTACAGTGACGAGGTGCAAATGTGTTCCATTTTTAATATGTTCTCGCCTTTCTGACGCTGGTCATTTTGGTATTAAATTTACACGAATTTCAATATAAAGGGACATTATACGGCTGAAATAAAAGTTGAAGAAATTATGCAGGATGCGTTTACCCTTTGATTTTTGCATTTTGGCCCGGTTAACTAAATGTATTGGTAACAAAAGCCCGCCCAGATAATTGACGTCCTAATGTATTCGGAATTCATTAAAGTATTTTATTTGAAGGGAAATCGGGTTTATCCCCCCGCAGACACGCGAGTACAGTAATTAATCCGGCTGAATGATGGTTGAATGCTGGCACTCGGAATCAGCGCGCCGGAAAATTAATTAATTTAACGGGCACTTGCGGCCGTAAGGATAGATGCTGATCGAATATAACAGAGTCATTACATCCGGAGGATTTCTGCGGCTTCTTGTTGACGGCCGCTGTGCCGTGTGCGCTGCGGCACTCATTTTTTCCCGGCCGACAGAACCGTGCCCCGAGGCTAGGCCCGATGCCTTTCGGTTCCTTGCTCGAATGACCACCGATGTCCACACCTCTATATTCCCGCGTTTTCCCTCGAGAGCGGGGCTGGAAATTAAGTCGTTCCCTGTTGAGCCTGCTGGATGCCGCGGCTCCGGCGATGAATGGTCGTTTGCACGCACACGCGCAGGAACCGGCGTTCCGCTGGAATGAGGTGAGGATAGGAAGAATGGGCATCCGGGGGAAATAAAAACAGACTGCTGCTGCTGCTTCAAATCGACGGAAAATGATCAAACGCTTAATCCCGCATCAGCGTTTTATTTTTTCTTCTTCTTACCGTCTTCCGCGTGAAACGCGCTTTTGGAACCCCGGGAGAGGAAAATTTGTAAAAATAAACGCGGCGGGGGGAATGCATCTGCACTCATTGATCACCTGCTTCCGCGGTCGTGATGCAGCTGAAAGCCGAGCCCCTGGCTGCGGACTGTGTTCCATCCCTCAAGTGCTATCAGATGACGCCGAAATCATATCCGTCTTAACCAAGCATAGTTTTTCTCCGACCAACAATGCGCGGAAATCTCGGAGAATTGACCTCCGGAAACCATGTTTCGTAACAGAGCACGGCGAGTGCGTGATACATTGCTGCCGCAAGACGCGGCGAATGCTTCATTTCCTTCCCAGTGAAGAAATCGGCCAGAAAAGAACTCTCAACTCTGATACGTACAGCGTAAAACTAATTTCCTCTTTTAATTGGAATGCTTCCGCAGAGAAAGGTGCGAAGGAAGGAACAATAGCAATCGTCGCGATCATGCAGCGGAACTAAAATCTCGAGGCCCCGGCAGCAACTGTAAGTCGGCGCTCAATTTTCCGGGAAGAACATCCGTCATGTGTCTGGCTGACCGTTAACGTTGACAACGACTTAAATCTCAACTTATAGACCCTTTACATTCAGCAGTACTGCGTCTTTTGCCCATTGTTCCCTACGTTATTTCACCCTCGTGAAGCGATAATTACTCGCTGGCAATTATTTCCTACGGGTTTGCTCACTACGCGCGGAGAGGCATTGATATGGACTTTACACGCGAGCTTATAATGGCTCCAAATAACAAAGCCCCTCCCATGCAATATCAAATCTATCATTTAAAGTCCAGTGACGATGGAGCCCGACCAGCAGTCTTCTTCCCATTGCAATTTTATCTCTTGTGTTCGCTGTGGATTTTGATCGCTTTAGCACCAATCGTCAAAATGTATCTAAGGATTCGAGCGGTGAAGGATTTCTGCGGACAGTCAAGGTTTAATTTTTGTTTCCTCCGCAAAGCATCATAAGCAAAAGTTGGGCAATTCAAACGCTATCCTTCCGAAGTACCGTAATGCAGAGGAGCGTTTGGATCATGCCCTATCTTGCATTGGTCGTCAGCCCGCTTGAATTTTAGCAGGCATGATGGGAGTAAAAAACATATTGCATACCACAACCCCATCATCTGTTACCCCTTCCATCGATGCGTGGTTTCAGGAATGATACTCTACAAGAACTTCCAATTAATTCTAAACCTCAGAATGCAGCCAATCAAATAATGAAATTTACCCGAAGCCTCTCCAGAGATGTTTCTGCAGGCGGATTTAATGTTCAGAAGCGGCCATTCCATAATAAAAAAAAGTTCTAATATCCAAATTGGACTTTGTGGGATGCTTCAGTCATTTGACTGATAGTGTTTTTTATTTTACTCTTTGAGGAATGGGTTGAACAGCGCAGAAGAATAAATAAAATCAATAGAATCAGTTTTAATCAACTGGTGGTGCATCTTTCATGAGCTGTGCGCGGAAATCGGACACCACTTGCATTTCATCGATCCCTCTTCGTTAGCTTCCTTCAGAACTTCTGCACTGAAAATACGACGAAGGATTTCTCGAGTTGTTGTTCTCTGAATGCGGTCTTATATTTATTTCCTTTAGCTGCAAATCCGACCCATGACTGTAGCTTTTTGGAATCCTGTAGCGCATTTCAGAGAAGTGGATTTCGATTTTGGCTATTGTGTCGATTGAGCGGGTTTTTCAGTTGCGATTGTACGGATTTGATCTAATATTCATGGATAAGGGCTGAGAGGCTCGGTACGCACCGGAAGAGCGAGGATAGGATTCTTTTATTACAGAAGCTCGAGGAGGATGGGTTAGAGAAAAATGGGTTGAGAAAAATTCGTTGTCGACTCTGAATGCTCGAATCCAAGAAAACGAAGGAAGTTCGGGGCGGAAGGAAGCAACTGGCGGGAAGGTTCGATAAAATAAACACCTTCAGGTGCGGGGTAGATCCGTGGGCAGAATTCAAGGGTTCCCAGCGTGGGACTCCGGAAAATCCCCAAGCAATTTCGCCGTGAGAGACCCCTCGTCATCGTTCGTGCTCCGAGTCAATTCTGCATTCGCTGTCTCACTCGTTTCACCAGCAGCGACGAAGCATGTTGTTGTTTTTTTTTCTTGCTTATTCTTTCCTTTCCACCTGGAGATGCGCTCGGGGTGGCCCATGCAACCCCCACCTCGGTGTTTGTCATGCTACCGGAATATACCGGATACGGCGCTAATTTGCTTTTTCGGACGCAAGCTGCGACCCCGCGGTCGCAGCGCCGGATCGGAAACATGAAAGCCGATTTCTGGGCCCCCGCACTCTAGCCGAAACCAAAACCGATTACCTTGCCACCGATACACCGATGTGTCACGCACACCAGCGCACGAGCCTATGAGATATGAGGGTCTGTCGAAAAGTTTTTGATTGCCTTCTGTCTTTCCCCAAGTGTGGTTTTTGCTAATGAGTGTCCCCAATCCAAACTACCCTCCCCCCCCCCCCCCGCTACTTATTCATCCACTGCTTCATTCACTGGTTAGAATAAAGCTTGATTGGCCCGAAATCCTGCTGAATTCAGGCTCTCGTTGAGATATGCAGGGCACGAATGCGTCTAGAATTTTTCTTACCGCGCCTCGTGCAAAATTTTCCCGTCGAACACTGTTTTCAGGAGAGGATACAGCACTCTCTTTCAAAGCTCCCGGTTCTTCGAAAATTCTCATCCCGACCCGAGAATTTTAAAGTCCGGACACGAAAGTTATTCACGATGCACGTATCTAATGAGGAACGAAAGCTAGAGTAAGAACAAATTACCTAATTTTCGTTATCGAATAACCAACCCCCACGAAGAAAAATTCACCCGAACAGATTTTGTTGAACATAACCCTGATGTACGAACTTGAACTGTGCCACAGAATTTGTTATAAAAATTGGCTTACGCATTATTTAAAAAAATTGAAATTATTTTAGGAAAACTATCAGCTTTTGCTACTCGCTTGTAAACCGTATTTCAACTTACATTTTCAACTTTGTCGCTTCCCAGGCAGTTTTTCCGTCGGAAATTGCAAACCAAAATCAAGGGCCTTTCACGTGGCCCATGTCTAATCGCATTAATAACAGGAAAGCCTGCACAAGAAGTGAGCCTTGAATAATTTCGCGAAAGTAAGTGCGTGATTTTCTTAGCGGGGATTCAAGAAGCAGCTCTTATGTTCACACCGGTAGAATGCATTTTTCACTTCAATACATTTGATCCACAGAGAAGAACTGATAACGTCACTGGAAAATCGTTTGCCTGAGGGATTCAAACTTTTATATTTGGTGTTTATATAAATATATTGATAGGAAAGGGGACACAACATTTGCTTACATGATTTTCAGCTTGGAATCGCAGATGACAATTTTGTGACAGTAACTTTCTCAGTAGCCAACGCAGGGGGGGGGGGGGCAGAGCGTTGGGGTATCGGTGTCGCGCCGGTCGCTTCCCCTGGGGTATCTCTGATTCGGATATACCGTACCTCCACAATCAGCCGTGTTCCGTTTCCCGTTCCGGTGGCAGGTTGGAATCCGATCCGGAGCACACGCCTGTATCAATGAAGTCCACCGTCCCTAAGTCGAGTCTCGACGGCGAGCCCCAGGATGAACTGATCGATGAAGCCAGGCAACGCATTCATCCCGTTCAATCCCGTGTGTGGCTAGGTAGGCGGCTTCCTAGGCGGAATGCCGACCCGAACATCACGCCCCAGTCGAGGGTGCCAGTAAGTAACTCCTGATGGGCGGCTCACGATTAGCTCAGTGGCAATTTTTATTTGCTCTCAGCGCGACGGCGAGGGTAATCGGCAGCGAGCACGACGTCGTGAACCTGGTAGTGGAAGATCTGTCTTTGCAATTGGGCGGACGAATGTTTGGAATTGATGTACCCGGGGTTTGCAACATTGTCTGAACCGCGCCCTTCCCGTGATCAGTAACCCCTGAACAAGAGTTTCCAGAAGACGTAATTTACACTCAGGAGGCAAGTTCCTCTTAACCTTTTTGATTCATGGAACCCTTGAAATAATTTTCTCAAAACAAGATTTTTTCTGAATTTTTAAATCAAGCGACCGCATTCATTGGATCAAAAGATCCCACAGATTCCAAGGTGTGCAACTTTTATTTGCTATTCTCAAAAATGGAGTTTTTTAAATGTTAGACGCATATACAGTACTGTATATTAATTTATTTTGGTAATTTTTGGTTAACACATTGCAAATTTGCGTGTCTTTTTGCGGTCCTCATTTGCGCAACACCTCCTGGATAATTTTTTTTCTCTTACATCGTCTCGGATAGCATTGAACATGGTAATAATCGAACAAATACACAAGCGTAAAACTCAGAAGAACCATACTTCGGTCGTTCGGTGACAGTACCCTATATTATAAGTTTTTGCTTCATTCACGATCGCCTTGATCCTGCAGAATTTATAAATTTTATATGAGTCTCGAGCCAGTTGTATATACAGTACATTATAACGAGACTACGTTTGATTTCATTTACGACTCAATTTCATTCAAAAGTTTGAGGTAAGAAAAACTTATGTCTATTACATTAAGACCTAAAAATCCGTCCCTAACTTCAGGCCTCAACTATGGGTTAGATGCCAGTAAATGCAAGATATTCGAGATAATTTTTCAGAGCTGATTCTAGAGAATGTGGGGTTCTCAAATCGGAATGAAGACTTATGGCGGGACCTAGGACTGCTCCCAAGTTTCTTGCATTGCAGTACTTTTCGGGGTTAACATTTTATTTGTACTGTATTCCCCAGGAGTGCTTTTTAACCTTGAGTTATGGGCGTCGAAGGCCTTAAATTTCCGTTGCAGACGCAGTGTCTCGATTTTCAATTTTTTTTAAACTTGCCTTTTCATTCTCTTGGAGT